GGTAGACACAAGAGCATTTGAGCCTATACCTGTCCTGAAGGGTCTTCCGAGCTGGTGACGGGACAGGACAAACTACTTGAAAACCAGTGTTAGTCCCTTTCTGAATAATTATTCTTTAATGAAAATCACTGCTAGAGGAGCGGTGCATGTGAGAATTCAGAGGTGTTAAGAATCCCTGTGGGGATGGATAAGTGTCACAGCCAACGGTAGGAGGTTAAGTTTTGGCTGGGATTTAGAGACTAGAGATAGACAGGAGGAGAGAGAAGAGGGACCAGGTGAACACAGATGCAAATTTAGACAGGACTACAGCGCACTGGAGAAGACTGGATGGAACGGAAGGTGTATTTTGGGAGTAGCAGCAAACATATTTGGAGAGAAGGATCAGGGTCCAATAGTATAGGACCTCTAAGGTCCAGCAAGCTGGTCTGGGCCTCAGGCTGTAGGCACAAGGGAGCTTTTGAGGATTTTTACACAGCAGTACTGTTACAATGCAAGCACTGTTACAGCAAAATAAATCTGAAGAGTGTATGGTATGAATCGAAGGAGGAGAGAAGAGGATTAGATCAGGCAGAGGAGATGAAATAAATGAAATATGTAACACATGCTCCTCCTGGTGTCATTCTCATGATCACAGGACACAGTAATTCAAATAAGAACTAATGAGATCTGGGCCCAGATCTCAAAAAGAGAAATCAATAATGAGAAAATCCGAGGAGCAAGAATCAATATGATAATGGTGACTAGTTGGAAAATTTATCTTCATAATTTTGGGGATATATTCTTTGTGTTTAGGTAAAGCATTCACATTCGGTCTCTATAGTTTCTTTTATTTATTTATTTTATTTTTTAAATTATACTTTATTATTAATAATGTCACAGGAATAGATACTCTCCATCAGAGATGAGAGATTTATATGGCATGACCCAAAATATTTTGGGGACAAGTGACTCATAGTTCAGCCTCTATGGTCTCATGGAGATTTTAATGAAGCCAGATTTCCATACAATAAACAAGGCATTATTATTTCACTTCAGGATCCGAAGATGGAGGGATATAAAACACAAGTCTATTTTAAAGACACCATTAGAACACATAAGCATAAATTAAGTTTTAAGGCTTTTAAAACTCTCAGAAATGTTTCTTGATTGCATGGAACACTATACACCTGTCATATTTTACCCCTCTTGAAATATCACTATACCATCTTAGCAGGGAATTATGGCAGAAAAAATGGGGTGAGAATAGAGGAAGAAGGGGTGATGGGAAAAGCAGTGTTTCCCTACATCTGAAAGCTCACCTGAGAATTATTCATTATAACATTGATCATTCGTTCATTCATGCAAGCATTTATTTCCAGGAGCTTTTGCTTTTTAGGAATTATGTTCTACATGTAAGAGACATGTAAACCATATATGTGTCCTTAAGAAGCTTAGTCAATGGGATAAGATAGATTAGTTTTACATACACTTGAGAAATGCTATAAATACTGTATGCACACAGGGTTGTGGAGCTAAAGTAGAAGGGGGCAGAGGAGATGAAACTGAATGAATAATATTGGTGAAGTGGGCTAGAGGAAAAAGGAGAAGGAAGGAATGGCTTCTGGAGGAAGTGACACTTGAATTTCCCTCTCCAGATGCCCTTCCTACTCCCCCTCCCTCTTCTTACCTTGGACCCACCTCCCTAAGTAATCCAACCACAACCACCTTTTCTGTTGCTACCTGACACCCGGATAGCTCCTAAAGCAGTGCCTCCAGCTCAAATCAGCCTCTCTGATGGAACTTGGAAGCTAAGGGAAGAAAGGAATCTAGGTGGGAACCTAACGGTGGCCACCAGACAGCCAGAAGGATAGTGTCTTGGAGGCCAAAGAAGGAGAAGATTTTAGAAATGAAGTAGACATTCGTGCTAGATGGGAAAAGAAATGAAATATGTGCTTTCTATTTGGTGTTTAGGCCATTGATAAATTTGGCAAGTGTGCAAATAGCAAGGATTAAAGTTTGAAAATGACCAATGAGGCAACGAATACACTCTATTAATAAGATGCTCTTCTGAGAAAGGAAGGAGAGGCAAGAACCAGAGAAGGAAATGGGTTAAAGAAGTTTCTTTGATACAAGAGAATCTATGCTAAAGTCACCACGTTAGCAAAGAGGGCACAGTTGAAAACAGAGAAGGAAAATTGATGGAGCGAGCTATCAGGAGTGGGAGCAACTGACTGGAGGAGTCCGTGTGGACAGAAGAGCTTTCTCCTCCTCTGAGGTGGGAAGGAAGTGGGAGGCGATGGGTGGGGAGGCGGGGAAGTTTATAGACCAGGTGGTAGGGAATCTGACACTGATTACACACTTACTCTGCTAGAGTCCCCACGTGGACCATGAAGATGAATAAGACACCATCCCTGTACTCTCCGTTCTCAAACATTCACTTCATTTAAATGAATAAAGGAGTAGTTAACCTTATGCTGCTTGAAATTCAAACACGCCCAGCAGTGGCTGACAAAAGGTAGGATTCTGGCAATAGGTACTTCCTAGAGGATTTCACCACTGGCCTTGCTTAGAATTGGCAGTGCATGATGAGTAAAAGTTAGTCTGACTTTTAGGTAGTTTTATTATCATCTTTAAATCATCTGTAGAAAATGACCACCTTATTGCTTTCATCGGAGCAAATCTCTTCTGCCACCCCGCTTGTGGTACATCACCTCAGATACTTGCTTTGAGGTTTCATTTGGAAGCAAATCAATGTATAAAACTCATTTGAGTGACAAAAGCAAAAGAGCCGGAAGGAAGCAAAGAAGTCAAGTTTAACCCCTTCATATTACAGATGAAGAAAGTAAGGCCCAGGTAGGTGAATGATGTATATGAAGCCACTCAATCCAGCAAAGGGCAGAGCTGGGTCTGGAATCCAGTTCTCCGGACTCCTGGTTAGTCTCCAGGAGAGAGTTCCATCTTGTCTACAGCCCAGACAGCAGTGTTGTGGTACCCAACTAAGAAAATAGTACCTGGAGAGCCACATGGATCCATCAGGAAACCAACCAGTATTTGGGGGTGATGAGGAAGGAAGGAAGACTTGATTGCTCTATGTTTTTCTTCTGTTATGGAGTCAAAGTGTTCTCCCTTTACAGGAC